AGCAGAACATTATGGAGTAGAATGTTCGATTAGTATATGACTAATATATGATATTTGAGGTAGATAGTGGTCCAGTAAGTTTCAAATTTTGTCAGTTGTTTCTATGCAGAAGTATGTTCTTTAAGATGATTGCTCTCGTTAAATATCAAAGTCTATAATTATATTTTAGATTCTGGTTCAAATTTGCAAATATGATACATGGTTTAGAATAAAAACATTCGCGATATTTTGGAGTCCTGTAAAACTTGTCAAGTTACCACGGTTGACTGTTGCTATGCAACGAACAGATGGCCACGACGTTGGGTGTCATCTAAGTTCGGTTAGATTGTACTGACCGTCAAAATTCGAGGGAACAATTTTCGCGATTATTGACTAAGTGCCAAAACAAGTATCGCACGTTAAATATGGGCATTCTATCTTAGGTGAACACGCATTTGAAACCATGAAGAGTGACTGGAAGACTGCGATCAGCGCAATTTTTTTTTCGCGGTGCCTTTTCTGTTCATTGTCTTTCTTGAATGTGCCAATTCATTTCTTTCAACAGCTTTTCAAAGTATCGAACAAATATTTAAGCCAGCCACCCCTATGATTTCAAATGGTCAGTTCCTAGCACAAAGTAGCATGTTCTTTCGTAACGCTTGTGGCACAAGCGCCCGTAATTAGTAATATATATATATATATCGATTGAAAAAGCCAATAACTATTTAATATGCCTTATTTTCTTATCTGTATACAAAGGTCAAGTTTAAATTGTTGGCAATAATGATAGGAAATTACGCCCCTGTGTTCGTCTTTATCCTATTCAGTTCTTATTTGCTAAGTGGTTGAATACAGACACATTGCTATACAAATATCACCAATTTAGCGTTGGTCCATGATGTGTATATTAATGTGGAATGGATAATTTCACACGTGACGTATTCACATTCAAGGTGAATGCACATGAAATTGTTATTCGAAATGGATCTTGATTACTACTCATAGCAACAACCTTGACGACATGTATATCCATCATAAAATTATTGATATTAAATTTACCTTATTGCTATTGTCATGTTATTCACATTGATGTGGTGTTAACTTCATAACGGCGTTTACGTGGGAAACTATATTTTACGCTGGCACACACAAAAATAAATTTTACAAAGGACTGTCGCGTATACAATTCCTCAGAACCACAGGTCACGTGTTCATATCAATAAATATACACAATTTGAATTCCTTATTTGTTTCTCCTTTCTTCTTGAGACATTTTCGGAAGAAAAAACGAAATATTATGTACAAATAGAAAATTATTGTTCTCATTTACACAACCGTACAACCTGGTCAAAACCACTTCATAAACACACACGTATTTGTATTGTTACGTAGAAAACGATGTTACTCATGCTGCGTCGTGTCAAACTGATTGACATTTATTTCAACCCTGTGAGATAATACATCAAAGTACCCAACAATATAGTGGGTTGTTACAGTACAGAACGTAATTGATGCCAATCATTATGTGACACCATCTAGACGGGCGTAGACTAGAATGACATCTAAAGCTGGTTGATCCCTTTGTCCGTGGTCAAAGGAACCTGTCGGTAATTTGCTCATGCTTTTGCATTTTGATTTGTTGTTTTTCCGTTATTACACTTCGGATAACCGTGATAACTCGTAAATATGACGCGAAAAACAAACACGGATCGTCTATGCAATGGCAAATTATGTCTGAATGAACTGAAACGTATAACATGCTCTTGTAAATCCTTTTAGAAATGAGTGATGGTTCCTTCCAAAAAGAACCTATTATCATGGCTTTATGTAACGAATAATTGTGTTGGGAAGAATGAAACATGACTCCTGGTGTGATTATGATTAAGGTAACGACGAAACAATGAACAGACCTAAGTGAGACGTTGTAAATGAGACTAGACTTTTTGTAAAAAACATTCACATGAAAAAGTACAAAAATTACATATAAAATAAACAAACGTTTATATATGTCAAATGAATGAAATCGAGTGCTACAAACGGATTTATTAAATACATCTGTTTTACATTATTATTTTCTAATATTCTATTTTCCACTACCGAAAAAAAACTACGTCATATTTTCATGAAAAACGTATACAACAATAATTTCAATGATACAATATATATATAGAGAGAATTTATTTTACAAATTTTATAACAAACTTTTATAACAAAATATTATCAGATAGAGATCTGATTAAATTTCTGTGTTTGCTTAATGTATCGCAAGTTTTGGTACATCACGTACAACCGACATTGCTACTCAAATCCGAATAAGTACTTTATTGTTAGATGAAACGTATACAAAATCGGGTCATGAAATGTTGTTTACGACGACATCTAATAAATAAATGATATTTAATATTTTGAATATAAATTTATCAAGTTTGGCAGAGTCTTGTGTGAGACTATGAACCGTAACACATTGTTGGAAAAACACGTCATACGATTTGTAAACAAACGGAACATGTACAAAAAGCAAACACATTTTCGAACGCTTGCACAATTTGCATTGTCAGATAAATAATATCTAAATGCTAATTCCCCCTCCAAAAAAACAATTAAAAACGGTCGAGAATCTATCTGTAAAACTACAATAAAACATATTAGAAAACAGTAATCTGTTTATGTGAGAGTTACAATGTTAGTGCTTGTGCAATTTACAATTGGGAACGTATTTTAACACTTCTGGCATCATTATCTAAGACCAGAAAAAAGGATAACACAATACCCGTGTGCCCTGTTTTACCACTTATTAAGTGTGGTAATTTTAAAACAAATAGAACAAATGATCTAGCAGCTACTTTAATTATAATCTCTCTCACGAACTGAAGAACCGAAACAGAGATGATGACTATTTTAAACATAAACACATATTTTCTATCCATTTTCTTTATGTGTTTTAATAAATTTAAATCATGTTCAGAAATCAGAAATGCTATCAATGAGTAGACATACTGTCTAAAGATTAGGGCGATACCATAAAGGCAATATTTTTCAAGAATGAACATCTTGAAGTAGTATGCAGTAAATTACCTTTTAAATGGGGGATTACAAACAACAAACCTAGCTCCATAGTTATATCCACACAGAACATCCATAAAAAAATCATGCGTTCAATACATTAATCTCTCGCGTTGCGGCAGTGGTATTGGAAGTTACTGATACTCTTGTGTGGTAAATCTTATACACATCGCGAATAATTTTTCGAAATTTTCTCGACATAAGTGTGTAAATGATGGGGTTTATCATACTGCCGAATGTCAGGAGCGATAACGCCCAATAAGACCTGCCATTATCATATGCAATAACACCTATCAAGTTCAAACCCACCATGAATGGACCAATCATGTAAAGGAACGCAAAACTTAAAATCAACACACTGCATATTCCAGTAGTTGTGATGTCTATTTTAGAAGAAGCGTTTCCCTGATTTTCGATATATGGCTGGACACTGTTCCGGTGGTGGAGAGTAAAAACAATTATGAAAACATATGATGTGATAATTATCATCGCGCTCAATGAAAACACTACAACTATTGCAGATCGTGTACGACTCACACCTGGTCCACCCTCAGCGAACTGCAAACACGAAAATGCTGGTCCGGAAACAGTCTTCAATGATGCTACACAAGTCGCCAAAAGGTAACTGAAGAAGATTTGAAAATATATGGCACATCTGAGGGTGGATCGGCTGAACTTGCCACTGATGCCCAAAGCGCGAGTAAGACTCAGTGTTGCAAGTTGTACGATAGTAGCCGTTAAGGTGAATTGAGAGATGAAAATCTGTGCTAGACATACTATGTAATCTGGACCATCTGGTGCCGCAGTACCGACTATAGTTCTGTAGATCCATAACGGAGATGTGATTGTTGCATTCAACAGGTCTGATATAGCCAGGGCAACAAGCTGGTTGTTAGCAGGCGTGTGGAGCTGTCTACTTTTCCCAACTATTACACAAACGGAGACGTTGAAGAAGGTACCGAACATGCAAGTTGCGACACACATCACAGCCGATGCTATGAGCCACCCATTGGGCAAAGTCAGGTGCTTCACATTCGAAGAATCATTGAATAAAACGTGTTCATCAGCGTTAGTGAGATTTGCAGTGTAATTCATCTTCAAATAATAGTATATCGCCATTCTTTGTATCTCCTCTGTAACTGTGTTGTATTTTCTGTCTCAGCTAGCAATGTCTCATTTGGCGTGTTATAAAGCTACTGAAGAGCAGGTACTGTATTTTCTTTTCTGTTCAGAAATACATCATTGTCTGTATCATAGACGCGCCGACGGAAAAGAAAATCCCTACGGGTGATCAATTCAATACTCGACCAATTAGTACGAACACGCACCGCTCATGAGCTACCCTCAATAACTCGGTTGTGGTAAAGGAAGTCGACATTTTATTATAACGTTCACATGAATTTAACAGACGCATGATTAAAGGTCGCCGTTTTCATTTGTCGTCATAATACAACTTTACATACATAATCACTATAATCCACTGCAAGATTTTAACTCCACCAGGGACAAACAAATCATATCTCCTAGTCGATGATTCAAAATTGGTAGATGACATGCTGGTGGCCTGAAGCAGTCGACTAATCTATTGTTCATATATATGGACAATGCATTTTTCTTTTTTTTTTCGTTCGGTCTCTGCAAGCTCGTATTACCAACAATTCTACAGATCTCTAGGATATTTGTAACTTGCCTTAAGTACGGCGAAGGATATCTCAGCGTATATTATATCTGTGTATTGTATTGCGTGACTGTTATTATATATGTAATGTACAACTAAAGAATCATCTAAAATATTAATATTTATTTAAAGACGGACTTTAAGATACTTCAATTTCATCTTTTCCAAATGTAGTATAAATTAAATGTAATTAAATTAAATTCTTTTCGATACATTTAAACTTTAATGTGACTCCTATTTACATTTTTTTTCTAAACTGCATACTACAATACCACAAGACAAATTTACTTTGCGTATGATGAACATTATTTATTAGTCCTTTTGGAATAAAAGTAGTTCTAGTCGCTAACAATACAAAATGCCGCTTGCAAGAACAGGACTCTGAAGATGACATTTCGAGTTTGTTGAGTTTAGAAGATACATTTGTCAACAAATTATTGGTATTCAAATTATAACAGTTCTAAATTGAGCGATTTTAGGCCAACGATATACTCAGTTGATATATGTCATCTTAATGTCACTTGTCTGATGTAGAAACCCTTGATGTATGGCTCAGATTGATATATGGCAGGTGTCACATGTTGGGCAAGATGTGCTCATCTTTTTCAAAACACCTGACATCCCTTCATGTATACCAATGAGTTCATATATTTTTCAGTTATCCTTCTATTAGTTTAGTGTGCTTGTAAGTTATATTTTGTTTTTAATTATGTATTTGTTTGTAAATTGTTTGCGTTCTTGTTTTGAATTATCCCATTCGACTGTTGTCTGAAGATCCACGGTTAGTATGGATATGTTATTTACACTTTTTATACATTTAAAGTGGGTGATCCGATAACACAAGTAAGATGCTTGCATAGATTAACACAAATCCATAAACATCACGGAGCAAAATACATTCCACAAGCGGTAAAAATCAATTCTGGATATTCAAATTTTCAAATTGATTTTGTAGAAAAATGTAAATCGAAAACACCTTTACGTAATAAGACATAAATTAATAGTATTATTTGTGAATTCTTTAAGGAGCTACAAATGACTTATTAGTTTACATATTTTAAACAAGACTCGTTAATTTGACGTTACAGCGAAGATATCATAAACACTATTTGTTTAATGTCTGCGTTCCAAAATCGTTTTGAAATTTAATATGTATCACATTTATTTGTCAACAAAATATATAGGGCTTTTTGACCCTCTCTCTTTCATACTGGATTACCGGTACTTCGATAACAATAGCTAGTTTTGTTAGTCTCATATGTTAACATTTAAAGAATTACAATAGCAACACAGTTTATTGCTTCCGTCGAAAGAATACTAATATGTGTGCTGCCAAAATATCGTTTGTAATTTACAATTATACTCAAAATACTCAAAATGTATTTATTTATAGCTGAACAAAATGAGAGTGTTGTTAAGAATGAAATAATTCTCCAAAGAATATCAACAATTGTCACACTTACGTCAATGTACTTGCAAACCCTGGGACAATAATCTCCAGCAAACTCTTCGTGGTAACATGGATAATGTAAACAACATCTAAATACCACTATGAACGTGAAGTTTTGACCACACCTCGTCAACATTCAAGACGCAACTCGCACGCATGAATGAATGCAAAACATTAGTGAAATGTTATCGTATATTTTAATAGGGTGGTCATATTACAGCACATGTGCGCCTATTGTACATTTCTTGTGTTTACTCGTGTGAGTGTGATATACGTATGGGTTCCCCGTGCTGTGCCACCAGCGGATGACCATGCTAACGATATATAAATTGATTCATATGCTCATAAACCAACCCGCTGTTATCAGTATTGAACGAACAAGCTATTCATTCAAAACTCCATTTGTTCACAATAATGATATATGATAATTATATAGTTAAAAACTAAGAGTGCGTTTATATTGATATTGTAATTGATCTCATTTGATCTCACCGACACTATAAAATCAGCTCTAAATACCGTGCCACTGGAAACACCTTCACATTTACCATTGTGTACGGGTGTCGTTGTCGTCACGTGTACCTGTGGCCCTTTGTACAGCTGCACGACACCTACAAAGCGCTCACCATGAATAACCGCGAACACAATACAACTTTTATACGACGTTAATTATTCAAAACACAAATATGTTAATTATTTATTTCTACACTTTCTCTATTTATATATTAAAGTATAAACAAAGGCCACTTTAGTGACTGACTGTGAATTATAAACTGTGTGCTTAATCCTTCATGAAGAGATATCGACCATAAACTCCATGGCCGCCTATATTGGCTGACTACTCGGGGATCCACCAACGTGGGTGCGTACTTTACGACTCCAACACATATTAGCAATTACGTTGATGAATACAGCCATCCCTATCCAGCCACCAAATGCTGCCAGTAGATCTGCCAACATCTGAACTAACTGTAATAATAATAATAATAATAATAATAATAATAATAATACTAATAATATTTTCTAATAAACGAGGGGGGGGACCATCACATAATTACTTCAACGTGAGTTATTGCACGATAAACTTCAATAATAACATAATGGAAATTCAGCAATACTTACGGTAAAGGATGGTACTTCGACAAATACCATGGTCGACATATCACTCATGTAGACGTTCACTGAGACGATGTTCTCTCTGTAACGAAACATGGCGTATTACACGTGGTAATAAAGGGAAAAAACTGCGTGGTTATCTCAACAATATTTAGTTGGTTATTTGCGTGTAAGGTTAGATGGTATTGCTTATAAAATGTAAGTTGATCGTGGAATGGCAAAAAGCGTCATAATTTACAACTCAAGAAGGAGGAGACAGTAACATAAAACACAATATTGTTGACAACATATGATAACCTGTATGTTTATGTCGGGGATTATTCTCAGATTGTCACTTAAGCCACCAGTTTAAAAAAAAACCATGTGATTTCCTAGACGGTGGAAACCTCAGAACTTTACATAAAAAAACATTCACTGAAATAATCATCAACGTCACATGTAATGGGAATGTACACTTTTACCTTATTCTATCTTCATCCATATCTTCGTTGTCGTCATTAACAGTTTTTACATATCTGGCGAAGTGTTCCATATATACCTTAGAAGGCCAGTTGGAATCTGATGTTGTTATCTTATAGTCTCGCTCTCTGATCAAAAAGACATGACGTTATAAGATACACGTGTTTTATGTGATGTGTGTATTTGGAGACATTGCGTATATCTTTAAATATATATTTGTACATCTGGTGTGGTTGTACTCAACTCAACAAGGTAAAGGTTCACGTAAACAATATATAACAGGTAATATATTGACACAGGTAATCACAATATACAAGTTCAAATACATTGTACAAAATGGGAATGTATATTTTCAAACATAACTTTGGTAAGATGGAGTTGATGGGTATATGTTTCACTTTTGATACACCTTACAATTTTAAAAGTAAAGTAAATAAAAAATAATTAGTTTGTCTTCATATAACTGGGGTGAAATTCATCTTTCTTGGGAAATTTGAGGTCTATGTTTTTTTTCGAATATTGGTTTCTCCAATAAATAGACATATACTAATAAAGCATGGTTTCCTAATAACGGAATTTCCCTTTAAAGTTGAATGTGATACAAACAAATTGCTACAATGTCGTTTTAACATATTGGGCGTGAACAGTGCAGCACAATGAAGAAAGATGCATTCATGTTAAGTCTTATGTTTTACCGCCGTGTATCTCGTGTAAATCGCACCATCAGTTAGCGCCATGTTTGACGATCAACTTTGTTATCATAAGACGGACAAGAAAATGGGTTAACTGGAAATGTTTCGATGTTTTTTTTCGTTTCTTACGTATACTCGGGATTATATATAATGATTACATAATATAAAAGAATGCATCGCATCTCACCTGCATGGTGGGGGACATCGGCAGAATAGATTACCATTGTTACGGAAATGCGTCATCATCTGAACACACATATCTGTGAAGAATGGGAATAAAATGCATATCAGTGGTTGAGGCTTGTATACATGCATCGAGACCCGTGTTTAAAATTACTGCTCGCACGGGTAACTATTCAATCAGGCTGGTGACAATTTCATGTTACTGGCCTTGTGGTCGGGTAGATCTTTTGAGTAAATAATTAAAATATTACTTTTTGCAAAACTCACAACATGTGCGCGGATGTATGATTGTTTTCAAAGTTATGTAACTAGAGTATGATGTGTCTGTTTTGACACATGCAACATGTAAAACAAGCATAAACAACAACAATCTATGAACGACGTGTGATTTGGCGAACTCTCACACTATGCATGATTTGAACTCTCACAATATGCGAGAGTTCCTGTTGGCGCGACCTTTTCAGGGCTGGATCATGAATCAGATTTGTCTTACTTGAATGAAAGTCACTGCAGTGACACTGATTGAATGAAATATAGTGAA